ATCTACACAAGCAAGAGACATCTATTCTTTTGGTGTAATTATGTGGGAAATCTTAACGGGTGAAGAAGCTTTCAATGATTACGAATTTAATACTAAGCTAGCAATAAAGATTTGTAGGGGATTGCGACCGGAATTCGCACCCGGGGATCCAGAATGTTACGTTGAATTGGCTAAGAAGTGTATGGACTCTGATCCAAAAAAAAGACCTGCTGCTACATATGTTAATGCGTTAATGACTACTTGGATCGACGAACTTGCGCATGAAAGCAATAAAAGAATAATTAAAAATCAATTCTTAGAAGCTGATAAGCAATCCTTAGAAGCTGATCAGATGGATAAAAAACTACCAAGTATCGTGCAAAAACATCCAGAACATAATAAATACGCTTCAAAGCCCATTAACATGCAAGAGGTCACGAAACTATTGTCAAAAATGGCAATTGTTGGCGTTCCAGTGGATATCGTGGAAATACCAGAAGAGTGAATCGATTAATTAAAAAAAAACATGATTCTTTACTATTGTGATTAAAGATAAATTCACAAAAATTGTTTCAATACTTTAGTGTATGAATTTTAAATCCACCACTGCATGATCTTGTATTTTCGATTGTTGAATTTAAGGACGATGAATTAATTTGGCTGAAAAATTTTATATCGAATACACGTATATAAATATGTATTTATAACCAGCGTTGTACATTTTGTTCAAATGCTCTGGCATGTTAAAACTTTTTAATAAATTTATATGAAAAAAAACAATATCCAAAAATCCATTTTTAAAAATTAGACCCTTATTCGAAAATCCGATTTATGTCCGATACGTAATAATTGGAACTTGTTTTAAAAACCCAAAAGTTAAATATATATGTCCTTAAATCACCCGAGTTAATATTTACATGATTATAGTTCTAAACTAGGTCTCAGGCCCAGGCATTGCTCCGGGTTTAAACCTTAGTTAATCTAGATCTTAAGTTCAGGTTTACTTTGATCCAACTTAGTACTTTTGTTCTTTATAAGTTTTGGTTTTTGTTTAAAAAATGTCGGTTTTATTGTATAGTATCACCCGAATTAAATTTTTTCTTAAGTTTTTAAATAACGATATTTTTAAAGTTACATTGTAAAATTTTTTGTGAATAAGCAATAACGATAATTTTTCTATGAACTCAACGTTCATTTGTGGATTTCTAATAAAGTAATTAAAGTTGCTTTTATGGAAAATTGTTCAACATTCAATATGCATAATACGTATTAATTTTTAACGTTTTGTAAAATATCTTCTCATCTTATGTTTTAACCATGAACCAAACTGGCGCAGAACTTTATGACAAGGGCGAGCAATATTGGTACGGTAATGGAGTTGAAAAAAAGGACTTGCGTAAAGCCTTCGAATATTATCAAAAATCTGCAGAGATGGGTCATGCTCTTGGAACATGTAATGTTGGATATTGTTATGAAAAAGGAATTGGAGCTGAAAAGGATGCATATAAGGCATTTATTTATTATCAAGAATCTGCAGAGATAGGAGACGCTAGTGGAATATATAATGTTGGAGTTTGCTATGAAAAAGGAATTGGAATTGAAAAGGATGAAAATAAAGCTTTCGAATATTATCAAAAATCTGCAGAGATGGGAGACGCTAGTGGAATATATAATGTTGGATATTGTTATAAAAATGGAATTGGAATTAAAAAGGATGAAAATAAAGCTTTCGAATATTATCAAAAATCTGCAGAGATGGGGCACGCTAGTGGAGCATTTATTGTTGGAGGTTGTTATCAAACTGGAATTGGAGTTGAAAAGAATGAACATAAGGCATTCATTTATTATCAAAAATCTGCAGAGATGGAGGACGCTGATGGAACATTTATTGTTGGATGTTGTTATGATGAAGGAATTGGAGTTGAAAAGGATGAACATAAGGCATTCATTTATTATCAAAAATCTGCAGAGATGGGTAATTCTAATGGAATGTTTCAAGTTGGATATTGTTATGATGAAGGAATTGGAGTTGAAAAGGATGAACATAAGGCATTCATTTATTATCAAAAATCTGCTGATATGGGTCATGTTAATGGAATATGTCTGCTTGGTTATTTTTACGACATTGGAATTGGAGTTGAAAAGGATGAACATAAAGCATTTATTTATTATCAAAAATCTGCAGAGATGGGAGACACTATCGCAACATCTAATCTTGGAGATTGTTATCGATATGGAACCGGAGTTGAAATAAATTTGAAAAAAGCCTTAGAATTGTATCTGAAATCAGCTGAAATGGGTCACGCAGAAGGAATGCAACTCACTGGTTACTGTTATAGAAACGGAATCGGAACAAAAAAGAATTTAAAAGAAGCTGAACATTGGTTTAAAATGTAAGCCTTTTTTTTAATTCTTATATAAAAATATAAAGTAAGATTAATAATTTAAAAATAGAGAAAGAAGCAAGTTTCAAGGTAATGATCTCGTAGATTATTCTTTTTTTTATTTTGATAATTTTAACTTAATTTTAAATAGAAATAGAGAAATTCACTTATACTGGTATTGATGACAATATTAAAAAATTATTGAATGATGAAAAGTATCAATTATTATGGATTCCATATGATAAATTTGAAAATATTGAAATGATTGGAAAAGGAGGTTTCGCAACCGTTTATCGTGCTAATTGCCGAATTATTTATAAGGATTCCTTCTATAATTATTTACTCGCATTTAAAATAATTCATAATCAAGGTTTTTTTGATGAGGTAAATTTATTGAGTTGTTTAATGTTTAATTTATTATTAATATATATATTTTTTTTAAAAAAAAAAAAAGTTGAAAGCGTTTTGCGAGATCGGATATAAAAATCCATCATTCTTAAGGTGTTACGGGCTATCGAAAGATAATTCAGGAAATTACATTCTTATTTTGCAACATGCATATGAAGGTTCCTTACGTGATAATCTTCGCAAAGTATCGCAAATGAAATGGAAAAAAAAAAAAAATTTATTAAGTTGTATAGCATCTGATCTTGAAGCTATACATTCACAAGAATATATTCACAAAGATTTACATAGTGGTAACATATTACAAGACGATTTAGATAACGCATATATCGCGGATTTAGGTCTTACATCACTTGCTAAAAACGATATCGAAATTTTTGGAATTTTACCTTATGTTGCACCAGAGGTATTATCAGGTCAACAATCTACACAAGCAGCAGATATCTACTCATTTGGTATAATTATGTGGGAAATATTAACAGGAAAAGAAGTTTTCGAGGATTATGAATTTAATGTTGATTTAGCAATAAAAATTTGTTTTGGATTGCGACCAAAATTCGCTCCTGGGACTCCAGAATGTTATGTCAAATTAGCTAAGCAATGTATGGAATCAGATCCAAAAGAAAGACCTACTGCTAAATATATTAATGCGGTAATTGCTGATTGGATTGAAGAACTTGCGAATGAAAGTAATGAAACAATAATTAAAAAGCAATTCTTAGAAGCTGATGAGCAATCCTTAGAAGCCGATAAGCGATCCTTAGAGGGTGATAAGATGGTTAAAAAATTATCAAGTATCGTACAAAAATCTCAAGACCATAATAAGTACACTTCAAAGCTCATTAACACGCAAGATATCACGAAAGCATTTTCGAAAATGGCCATTGTCAGCGCTCCGATCGATAATGTGGAAATTCCGATAGAGTGAAGGCATTAAAATCAAGTAACAAACTTGATTTTTAATATTGTGAAACCAAATTTTAAATGCTTTTAAAAATAAATTAATAAAACTTACATGAAATACAGTATTTAGTGTTATGAATTTAAAATCCACACATTTTGCAAGTAGTTTAGTCTTAAAACTAATTTAATAAATTTATATAATATATATTTTCTTTATTTTTGAATATTTTTACTTAAAAGAAAATTGAAACAGATCAACTTAAAAATTTGTGCAATTTTAAAGACATTTATTTATTTTATAATGTCCGAAAAAAAGTTCAAAGCCAACCCATGACACTTATATATCCGATTCTGATAAAAATCAATCAAGTCGAATAAACGGTTCTATGATGATTTAGTATCACCGGTTATGTTATGTCAGCAACCACCAATTCAGATAATATGTCATACGTCATAATGGGATTTAAAACGATTTGAAACAGTTTAAATAATTCGAGGTTATCACTTCAAATTTATCAATTTTATTGATGTGTAAACTCGAATTATTAAAACCGATACCTGATATCTATATGTAGTAGTAGAATTTCAACTATTAAAATGATTACTGTTACTATTGTCAGAGGTAAAACCGTCACGCCGAAAAAAACCTGTAAAGTGATCGTCATAGTGGCCTAACAGTGAGAAATGTTGAAGTGACAAGAAGGTTGTGTAAAAGGATTAAAGATTAGAACAAATTAAGTTGGAATTTGATAGGAATAAGAAGAAAAATTATAATCTTGTATATGTTGTTTTTATCACTAATTTGTTATAAAAAGGATGAAATTTCTTATTTTAGAAAAATAATTCAATAGTATAGACAAGTGTTTCTACAAAATAATAATAATAATAATAAACTTATTAATAAAGATTCTCCAAATCCATAAAATCTAATAATATTAAGGTTAGGATCCTGTAGCCTAGTGGTTTAGATGCTCTTTTTTCTATAGACAAGATCAACAGTTCAATTCTAACTGGAGGTAAAAACTCTGTAATCTATAGAAGCATATAAATGTATGCAAAGCCTTGTGTCTAAGTTCATATGAATAGAAGATCAATGTATAAGGAAGTTTTCCAATATGAAGAGTTGGTGCTTGATGTAGGAGAAATAATGAACATATCAGAAATAGAAAGAAGGCATACTAGCAGGTAATATGATGAACATAAAAGAAATTTATGAGAAAGGAATGAATTTACTAAAATTTGAACACTTTTGATACCAATACCAGTTTTAGTTTTTTTTTTTTTTAAATATTAATAGTGAGGTCATGTCTTTAACTTTATTGAAATTCAATTGAAGTTTTTATAAAAAAAAACTTGCTTTTAAATTACATATGAAAAATAAAGACTCAGACATATAATCTGTGATCTAAACTTACAAGAGTAGCCAAGGCTTATCTAGATTTGGGTGTTAGTAATAATATATGAGAGAAGGATATGATATTTAATCTATTGGATAGTCCAAAAATCAATTCTAGTAATAATTTGTGGTATTGAGATAGGAGATAATAATAGACTAGAAGAAGAATTATGAGTTGAGTTTGTAGAAAATGTAGTTGGAAACTGTGCTAATTGTGAAATACAATATGGAATCTATATTTGTTTATATATTTGTTGGTTTAAATGAAGAAAAAATTTAATAGAAAGTGAGATAACTATACGGTAAGGAATAGAAGTATTGTGAATAGTAGAAATAAGGTCAATAGAAACTAAGTCAGATAAAGTAGAAATAAGAGATGGTATATGAGAAAAGTTATGCAGTTTAAAACAGTTAAGTATAAGAATTTCTTAATATAAATTAGAAACAAGATTGAAGGACATGTCAAGAGCAGTAACATTTAAAATACAATTAAGAGAATTAGAGATTAAGTGATAAATTGTTTGAGTAGAAGGACAAAGAATCCAGTGTAATGAAAAGCTAGTTTGATTATATTAATGACAGAGAGTGAAATAAGAAGAGTTATGTTTGTAAAAAATATGAGGAACAGGTAGTTCATTCAGAAGAATTTTAACATGAAAGTTTTTAAAAATAGAAAAATAAAAACTATAGACAAAGTTAGAAACTTTTTGATTATTATTAATGTAAAGCCAAGTGGCTTTTCAGTTGATGTTAGAAGCAATAGTAGACCATTGTTGAAAACGATATTGGGATATTCAAAGTATCATAATGTGAGCTTAACAGATAGTACAAATGGAGTATCGAATAGAAATTTTAATAGAAAATTGGTCAATAAATAAAGTATAGGCTGAATTGTAAGGGTTATTAGTTAAGAATATTAAAAAGAGTAGAATTTGGTGACAGTAGGCAAGTTGGTCAGCAAGATTATTGAATGGATCATCTTGATGTACAGTAACTTTGTAAAAAATAAGTTGAATGTTATATGACTTAATGAAGTTAATAAGAATTTGCCAAATAGAAAAGTATAGAATATGAGTATAAGAGAGTTTAGATACTGATAAACAAATATTATGATATTTAGAGATAACAGATTGTGTGTCTGTAAAAATATGAACAGAACAGTTTCTAGAAACAGTTATAATTACTAAGAGGATAACAAGAATTTCAGTTTTAAAGAAGCATAGCTAAAGTTTAACTTGTGTCTAAAATAAATAAATAGTTGCAGAATTATCAACTTGAACCTAACTTATGATTATAGAGCATTGAGAGGTACTAAGCTTGATAACAGAACCATCAGTATAAAATAAAATAGTGGCTAGGTTATGATTAGAATTAGCAATAGATTGTAAGCTGTTAGTAAGTTGATTAGACTGAAAGATGTAAGGTAATTGTTGTGAGTTGAATATTAGTGAAGGAGGTGGTAGAATATATAAAGGATGTCAAATAGCTACAGAGTATGTGATATCAAGAAAATTAGCATATAGATTAAGGGTTTTGTCAGTATTAATATGATGAAGTAGTTTTGTAGCCAGGTTTGTAGAAATAAAGATAGTGTATTTGTTGGCAATTGTATTAGCATTAAGATGATATCTGAAACATAATGTAGTAGTAAAGAGAGAAGTAGAATATAGATTTGAAAATTGTGACTGATATGAACAGTGCCAATGAGTAATAAAGATAAGGCCTATAGGGGTATTATGTCTTCTGGTCTTGTCAATAATTATTTGATTATTAAGAATGATAAGTAGTCAAGATTTGGTATTAGAGGTGAAATAACTAGTAGTATAGAAAAAGTAGTTTGTTTGAGGTAAGTTAAAGTAATCATATAAAGTATGTTAATAAGAATGACTTATTGTAATGTCCTCAAGAGTGGTGAACCATTAGGGTAAAACATCTTTGGAAAGCTTATTTAATCTAGGAGAAATGTGTTTTTAGTGTAATAAGTATGAATTATCATATATAATAAGTTAGTCAAAAAAGAGTAATTTGTAGTATCTAAGTTGTTTTTTGAAAATAGGATATTTGGGATAAGAGAAAAGAAGAGATTCAAAAGAGGTAGATCCATCATTTAGAATAAATAGAATGTTATAAGTTGGATGAATAGAAAATGTTCAGCCAATATGCTTGATAAGTTGAATAATTTTAAAGTTTGTAGTTAGATGGTTAGGACTATTGATAATAGGTTTAGGATGTAAGAAAATATTAGTAGAAGACCAGAGGTTGTTTTGTAATTGTTAAATTTGACTATGAGATGATATGTCTAACAGGTCAGGATTATTAAGTTATTTAAGAAGATTAGGAATATGGTGTTGTAGTTAGATGTTCCAGATATGTTTAATGTTGTAAATTTAAGGATGTAAAAGAGTACTAGAAGGTATTGTACAACAGAGTTTGGCCTTAAGTTTAACAAGACCAATATGTTAAGTAAGGATTTTATTGCAAGTAGGTTAACTAATTACAATGTTTTGAAGATGATATTTGAGAATAGGAATAATAACTGTGTTAATAATATAGTGGTCATGTGAATCAGTAATATGTTTGGTTTTAGCAATTTAGATAAATTGAGAGGATTTAGTAATGAGCAGTTTTGTTTGTTTAGATTGCCTATTGTCCAAGGTAAATCAGCAACCTAAAAATTTAAAAGGTTGTTTAGAAGAATATAGTAGAAGAAAATAATTATTATAGGAGATAGGAGTTTAGTGATATAGAGAATTATTAGTAACCAGAATGGATTTTGTAGAGTTAACTTGAATGTTAGTTATAGCATAAAATAATTCAGCTAAGGATAATATGTTAGAAAGCTCAGTTTGTAATAAAGCAACCCAAAGAGTATCATCCATATATGTCAAAACAGAGTATTGTTGTTATAATGAGTTAAATGTTTGGAGTTTAAGATTAGTAGTTCAAGAGGATTATAAAGTATAATCAGGTATTTGTGTATGTATATATGAAATAAGTGGATCATAGTATATGCACCATAATAGAGAAGTAATGGTTTTATCTTGGTCAATATTATTGTGAACAGAATAAGAGAGAGTAAGGCCAAGATTAGTAATGACTTGGTTGTGACAGTCAGTTAAGAGATCAGAGAGGATATTAATAATGGAAGAAGAAAGTGCCAGACAAAAAAGTAAATGTTTAAAAAAAATAAAGTTAAAGAGTCATATGCTTTACTTATATTCTGTGAAAGTGGCCAAATGTCTTTGTGGTTACAAGTAGCATCTTTAATAAGATTATTGAAAATGTGAATAGGGATTAAGGTGCTATTGTTAGGAAGTACAACATAATTAAAAGGTGAGAGGATAGGATTAGAAGAAAATATAGTGCTTAGTTTATTTGTCAGAATTTTGATATATAGTTTGTGAATGTGTTCAATAAGACTAATAGGTCAAGTAAGATTGAGATCATCATCAAAGGAGTTACATTTAGAAATAAAGTAAATTCTGCTATGTTTCTATTACTTAGAAATTTTATTTTCAAAAAAATAATGGTTAAAGAGACTAGTAATTGCAGAAGTGCATTCAGAGCTAATGTGTTTAAGCATTTCATAACTAATGCCTATAGGACCACAGACTTTGTTGTTAGGAAGC